CTACTTTTCACCAGGGGAAAGAAACTCAGAAAAATCAAGCTTCATATCTATGACTTGTGCATTTTTCTAAGAAGCAATGTACTGGAGAGAACACACTGGAGATTGTAATAAAATGAGATTTGAAGATAATCCAGATTCATTTCTCAATTCCTGTGTAGCCTGTGCCCTTGATTTGGGAGGGGTCGTTTCAGATCACCAATCTTACTGATTTGGTTTGACTTTAGGTGCTGAAAACATGATCGTAATATCCACAGGATCCTACTCCATAACAGAGTCCCCAGTCAGCACAGATAACTGATTTTAAAGAAGGAAACCAGGCAGCCTTGAGCATCTCAACAGTTTATTATACTGGTTCCTAAAAGGTGAGAGCAGGAATGATTTTACCTGAATACACTGACTTCTAAATACATCAAGCATCTTTTGAAAGAAAATCTTTTTATTTTGGTTAAACAAGTAGCCATAACTTAATAAACATATTTTAAAAGCAGAATGAAAAACACGGAAAAACATTTTAAAAGTGGAACGAACTAGTCAGTCAGTCCCCTCTTAGTTACAGTCACAGGACTATGTTTCCAGTGCAAGATCCTCCAACTTCCAGGCAATGCCCAAGTCACTGTGGCTGTGATGTACTCAAGACAAGAAACGACAGATTTGGGGAGAAGGAGTAATAATCTTGCTTTAGAATTTAGAAAGTTTATCAGACTTGGTGTGGAAAAATTTACAACTAAAACTGTATGTGTAATGGTGGTTTATTTGAATTTACAATCAACACCTTGGTACCAGAAGTCAGGATTGCACTTGTATTGCACTTGGTAAGTCCACTTATGGGGCCTCCAAAATACTGGAGAGTAATGATGTCAGTTTGAAGACTAAGGTGTACCAGATTCAGTCCATGGTCTTTTCAGTCACTTGCTATACATCTGAGAGCTCAACAGTGAATTAGGATGATAGGAGAATTACTAATGCCTTTGCATATGGTGTTTGCAAAGAGTACTGAATACCCTATGGACTGCCAAAAAGAACCAACAGGTCTATCTTGGGAAAAGTGCAGCCACAGGGCTCGCTGGAGACAAAAGATGGCACAAGCTCTCTCATACTTTGGGCATGTTGCTAGGAGAGGTCATCCAGCAGGTTTGCAAAGGTAGAGGGTCAGTGAAAGAGAAGAAAACTCCCAGTGAGATGAACTGTCACAGTGACTGCAGCAATGGCCTTGAGTTTGTAAGAGATGATGAGGATAGCACAGGCTAGGACAGGGTTCAGGAGTGCTCACAGGGCAGCTATGAGTGGTACTCAAAGGCCCCTAACAAAACCACCACATGGTGGTACTGTATTACTCTCTTAAACACTAGAAGGTAAAGATGCTGTCAAAGATCAAATGTGATACATGGAGGGATTATTTGCTCTTTCAGCGTTCTCCATTAATTCTGAGTTGACTGTTTGTCCCTTTTGAAAGAAAGTATCTCCCTCTAGTGAAAAGATGATTATACTGACTGATTTATATATCAGTGTTACGTGTTTGTTTCTACTTGTTTTCAGTGTGGTTAAGAATCCATTAAAAGGGGGGAAAGAATCCACTCCAAAGCATTCACAATAATAGCAGGAGATTTCTTCCCAGATGGTGACCTCGTATTGCTTGGCAATGTCCTGTGCTCTTTTACATACTTAGAGAACTTAATGCATGTAGGTCACCATGAGTCAGAATCACCCAGTGGCCACAGCCACACTATGCAGACATCACAGTGAAAGCAACTCGTGTATGATGGACAGTTGTAGATGCATTTTTCTTTTCTAGTAAATTTATACTCTCAGGGGAATATAAAAGTATTTTTGGTAATAAGAAAAATGATTGGGTAGTGCTGCCATCTCACTTACTCACATGCTTCCCCAAAGGGGCGTGCTCACTTGTAACATGAGCTGCCCTTGAAGAGTGGAACTGCTAAAGGCAATGTGTGTGATACAGACCCAGCATCCACTGCCCTACCTGTAAACAGACACTCATCTACAGCTGGGAGCAACTGACCCATGTGCTGCCCCTACACCTAGACAGAGCTGCTTGTTCATCTTGACACTGCCCAAAAGTGATCTGCCTTTGCCATCACATGTATTCCAGTTGCGCCCCAGGGAAAAGAACTGCCTCAAACAGTTGCTTAAAAACTATCATCACTTAAAACCTGTTGTCTCCAGATGGAATTTCTTTGGCATTTGCTGAAGGTTATGACTGAAAATGTAAGATGATTAACAGACAACCCCACAGGTATGTGCAATACCTTCTGGTACCCCATCAGCTTAAAATATTTTTTCAAAGCCTGACGTTTTGGATAGAAAGCACATCTTAGTTTCCTGATATTGTGAAAAGTGAATAATACAGACCCTTGAATTATCTTTACACCTTGTAACTACGGTCTATGGCTCGTGACTCAAAGCCGAGTTTGAAAAAAGCCCAGGGTTTATGTATTAGATCTTATTTTTCCATCATTTGAATACAACACTTTAATCCAAAACCTCTTATGCCATTTGGTTTTTAACAGGAAGCTATTAACTTCCTTAGTATTCAAATTCTCCATTGGTAAGGGGTGATGCGCTTTCTCTCAGATCCTTGATCACCTCAAACACGTTACTCTGCTTGCTGTTAAGTTCATGTCCCAACCGTACAAATTAATAAAAGTTTTCTTTTTTCTTACTGAAAAATACCATGTAGATTCCCCCCTCCTGTTGTACAATTAGTTTTTAATTTTGAACAGGAACCTGGACAACCAAATGAAAAGAGGCATAATATGTAGACAGATTTGGGAGATTGAGATTTGTTCAAGTTGACATTTTCTTTCAAGTATAACATTGTAGAAGTTTCTAGATGAGTCACTAACTTAAAACTTATATTTAAAATAGAAATAAATAGTTACTATTTAGTGCCTGTTTTCACGGAGAACTTTGGTTATACAGCCATGGTTCTGGCTCTGCTGTAAGCACCTGGACTGCTGTCATCACAGCAGGTTTAACCAGTCACCTGTGTGCAGAGTCAGCCGTCAGTCCATTTCCTAGAGCAAGAAAAAAAGAACGGCCAGGATTAACCAATTTAAAGCACAAGCCAGATTCGTGCAAAAGCATCTTCCGGGTTTTCTACTTTTTGATTAGTAGTGTCTGGGCTTGTGAATGGGCACCTAAGACGTAATTATGGGTCACTTCTCATCTGGAGTAAGAAAGAAGGGAGCTAATGACTCAGTGAAGAAGGCAGACTATAGGATTCATAATCGTCACAAACCAATGTGTTATCTGGACACCAGAAGAACTAGATGGAGCCTGGCTCCACTACCACCTGTTCAGATCAGGGACACAACTGAATGGGGATTTTAGCAGTAGAATTCTGACATTTCTGATTGAATGGGACAAAGTTGTATGGAACAGAACACACATTCTTGTTGAGACTAGAAGATTCTCTGAAACTACTGAGGTAGTTCTTAGTGGTAAGAAGCTGCATGGCAACCTCAAAGGCATGTGGTTCGAATCTACTAGCTGCTCCATGGATGGATAATCTCCTGTGCGATATCTGCCTCTGAAAATCCACTAAAGGGTCAGCTGTGAATTGATTCCAACATGATAGCAAACAACTGCATTGAGAGTCTTTGAACTGAAACTATTCCCTGAAGTGACCTTTTAGCTAACCTTCCCCCACTGACTCATAAAACAGACTCCCACCCATGGGTACTGTGCTCCTTTAAAAAATCATCTAGAGGAACCCAGACATTTAACCCAAGTAAAGATGAGAAAGTAGGGGGAATGGGGCACAGGGAAGTGAGATGAAACGAACAGCCAGAACAGAAAGGAGAGTATTGAAGACTGAAAAACATCACCATTGTCCTTGAGAAATCTGCATGGAACACTTTTAAATACTCACCACAGACACATTAAAATATGAAAATAAAAATTTCAGAGCCCTGTGGTTATGTTCTTATGTCACTGGATCCTAGAATGGATACTCCCATCTAGTAACCCACTTTAAGGTGCCATAAAGGCATCTTGGCAGGTCAGAAGGATTTAGTTTCCCACCCCACACCCTTCAGTAATTGGAGCCTGGACAGTACAGTAGTTAAAGTTCTTGGATGCTATCTATAAGGTCAGTGGTTCAAACCCACCAGCTACTCTGTGGGAGATGCTTGTGAAGGTTACAGCCTTGCATGCCCTGTGGGCAGTTCCCCCTTGCCCTGTATGGTCACTACACTATGAATAGCAACAGACTAAAAGGCAGCAAGTTTGGAGCTTTTGGGGTTGTTGACTTGTTTCAGTAGTCAGTAAGGTGACTACCAGTTGCTGTTGACAACGTGGCCATTTGCACCCCCTGCAGGCGGTTGTTGGTAAATGCTAAGTCAGGCTGCACCTCCCTCCAGCAGTTCAGCCTGATTATCACCACTGAACTGGCAAGATGCTGTAACTTAGAAGATTTTATTATGTTTTGGGCAAAAGTTAGGCTCTCATACATTGATTTCTACACAAACTTTTCAGGAACATGCTTCATAATGTGTTAATGTTTTAATTATTTGTGTTCTAGTTGTTTCATTTCCAGTAATTTTGTTTCCCTGCCCCCTTACTGTCACACCTTTGCTTTATAGATCATTTTGAAGACTCGTAACTTTTTTTTTTTTATTTTATTATTTTTATGTGCGTGTACCGTCAAATCAGATCTGACTGGTACAGGAGGAGATTGCCCCTCCTTCCCCGGCAGAGCATCTGGTGGATTCGAACCATGCACCTCTGGGATTGTAGTTGCAGCTTCTTGCCACTAGGCCACCAGAGCTCCCCTGAAGACTCGTAACTTTTAATACCTGAATTATAGATGTTTCACGGGGATAAGAGTCTCCTTTAAAAAAAAAAATAAAACCACAACCGTTCTTTCCAGTCTTTCTCCCCTTGTTGTCACCCTTGGTAAGCATGCTTAAAAGAATACTTATTTTGCTGTGAGAGGATCATGAGCTTTATTGCAGGGCTAGGAACCAGTATGCACAAGTTCAGTCCTGGCCCATGGGCACAAAGTGCTCACTGCACTGCAGCCACCTCTGTTTGTAGAAAACCAGCATCAGTGCCCATTCAGAGGCCTGGCCAGCCACGTCCCATGTGGTGCGGCAGTCCTCATCTGTGTAAGCGGTGCTCTGCACTGTTGCCCGTTTCCTACATGAGCCAGGATCCGATGTGCAAGAGGTGTGGTTACTGTGATTTCCAGCAGGCCTGCTTGCTTTCATGTTCTATGTGTCTATATCATGCTATTACTATGGGTCTACCAATAGTCATAACGCAAGCCTTCACCTCCCCTACATAGTAGCATGTCTTGGGACTAAAGCCGATAAGGCTCAGGAGCCCACGAGGTGTCCTTTAGCACCTATATAACTTTATCACTCAGGAAAGCAAGCCCAGTGCTTTCTTCCTGAGCAGAAAGCAAGTCTGACCGCCAGAAGCAGCCAGACAAGGGCTGTAAGAAGCCTCCAGAGGGTCCCAGAGTGGAGAGAGAAAAGGGTGGAGAGCAGGAAAGAACCAAGAGGACTTCAGAAAGCCCATGAGGCTGGTATCACAGGTTCTTACGTTTCTGGCTAAGTTCCTCACGTAGCCAAGGAGGTTCTGGTTAATAAAGTTCACAGTGGTGCGGAAGACATCGTGGAGCAAGGAAGGCATGTGATCAGCCACCTTCTTGGCCAACAGCATGGTCAACATCAGCTTGGCTTTTTCCAGTTCCATGTCCTTGGGACAGTTCTGCATCAAGTGATCCACGGCCATCCGCAGGTGCTCCATTCTACCCTGACAGAAGCAAAAGAGAGGGACCACGTGGAACAGCTTGCCAATACCTTTTCAAGGGAAATCTGTCTCGGATAGCTCCCTCAGTGGTATGTCTGAAGGCACATACTTCTCATTTCCATAGAAATTATTTATCAGAAAGCTCAGGAATTTGGGCAGAGAAAGTGGGAAGCAATTTTTAGTTGGAGAAGTGACGGAAAGAGAAATCTGAGCTCACTCCCAGGAATAGGATGTTCATCGGCCAAATACATGGTTAGTGAGCACAGCACGCTCGCTGTCAGGCAGTAATGGAGTCTGAGAGGCCAAGTCAGTGCCTGACCGATGTCTCAGGCCCATCTCCTTGCTACAGATCTAGCTTAGGGAAGGGGATATAGAGGGACTACGAGTTACATATCCACCTCCACAGACAAACCACAAATCATTCAACTTAAAAGGACTTCAAGCCCAGCCACTCACAACAGTAAGTAACATTAACATATGACAGGAGCAACACAAGATGCACAAACCCTGAGAGCTTCTGCAGAGCATCAGATGGAGAGACATCACAAGAGGGGGAGACAAGCTTTCGTAGAGGACAGAGGACTTGGTCTGACTGACTCCTGAAGGATAAATCAATTAGACATAGAGTCAGCTGCATTTGCTAGTGGAAGACCAAAGAGTCTTTCTCTTCTGGGAGCTCTGGTAACTTCCTGGAGTTATTTCCAGCTCCCACTAAGTTTCTTTGGGAAACAGAGGGTCTTGGACTTAATCCCAAATGTCTCAAGGGGCCAAGCAAGTATTAGAAGACCAGTTATTATGTGTGTATTGATTAGCTATGACCACAAAGGCAAAGTAGCTGGGTTTTTTGGTCACATCTGGGCAAGATCTCTGTTGTTGTCTTTACACATCTGCCTCAAAGGGAAGAAAGAGTAAACATTTCTGGAAGAGCCATTTACATTTTGCTAACAATCTTTTTGGAAGCCTTTTATTCCTAAATCCTTTAATTTTATTTTTCTTAATAAAATCACAGACATTCACAACTAGGCTTGAGGCATTATTTAATTTTATTCCTTAATCCTTTAATTCCTAAATCCTCTGACTATAGTTCAGGATGGCTGTCAACCAAATCTTCTGTGAGAAGTCCCTGTGAGGCTATTTCCAATGCTTTTGTCAGAGACCCTTTACTTCAAATCTGACAGTCAAACTGGGTCCCGGACTTGGTTCCTCTTACTGAGCACAGGGACTCACTGGTGGGCAAGCATGGGATATAAGAAACCAAGACAAGTTCCACCGTCAAGTGAGAAAATCCTCACACTTTTCCACTAACCCAGGAAAGATATGAGGGGGTCTGCCACCTTACTTACTTCCTCTGACAGGTTCATGTCCATAAACCGCCTTGCCAGGCTTTGCACCAGACTCTGATGGACCCCTCTTTCCATCTCATCCCCTATCTGGGCGAGACGAAAGGCGATGTGCTGAATGACTTCCTCGTGGCTTTGAGAATCTGAATGTTCAGGCAGAGGCAGGAAAGAGAAATTGGATTCAGAAATATGGCCTTTTTAACACTCTAACCCTGCTCTTCCCAACCCCAGAAAGGCTTCTGCTCTGGGACAAGCCCTGCTCCTTGGTCCTACAGCCCATCATGGGCATCCGCTCCACAGGGCCACTCTGTGAGGACAGGGAGCAGCTGTGGGGACAAGGGACTGGCCAGGGACTGGCCTGAGTCAGCAGAAAGCTGGTCGGAGAGGTGGGTCTCTCCGTGAATAGAGTCCACATCAGGAAGGATCAGCGCTGTGGCGACATTCACAGTTAGGCATGGGAGGCATCTGGCTGCCAGCTGGACACTCCGGCGGCTAACAGATGTCACACCCTATCTTCTTCACATTCCATCTCACCCCAGTCTTCCCTCTGACCTGCCAGGCTGTATGTAATCTGCCCCTCCCCTCTAAATGGAGTTGCCCCTTTAAGCCCGCTTCTCCAGCTAAACTGCTCCACCCCCCCCCATCCTTCTGTGGGTGCCTTCATCCCCAGAACAGGGCTCAGTCTCTCTCTTCTTCAGGTCAGCTCAGCTGCCCTCAGGGAGGCCCTTCTGACCATTCTTCTGTCCAACGTTGATAACCCTCAGTCTTTGTCCCCCCATCCCTTGTTTTACTTGGCACACACTTCTAGATATTTGACCTTACATTAACTGTCATAACATAAGCTTCCTAAAGGCATGGTTTTTAAATCAATTTTATCTGCTGCCAAAACCCAGAACCCAAAACAATGCATGACACACAGTAGGCACTCAATAAACTAATGAATAAAGAAATGAGTAAATGAATAGGCTGCTCCTTGGAGACAAGGATTTTGAGACTCCATCTCAAATCTATGGGCATGTAGCCAGGAGGGACCAGTCTCTGGAGAAGGACATCATGCTCAGAAGAGTCGAGGGAGAGCGCAGGAGAGGAAGACCGCAGATTGGGAGGATTGACACAGTGACTGGGGTAGTGAGGGAAGGTGTGTCGGAGACAGACTGGCTCAGGATAAAGCAGGGTTCAGAGCTATTTGTCCACAGGGTCTCTGTGAGTCATAGTCAACTCGATGGCACATAACAACAACAATACCAAACACTCAGAAATAATTCAACAAAGATAAACGGTCTTATTTCTCCCAGTAAATCTTGTCTATTTTTCTGTGCTTGCTCTGGTTTCTTATTCACCCAGGATACAAACATCCCACTTACCTCCGTCATTGTCTCTGCACTCCACGGTCAGATCTGCCTTACAGGGAAGATAACACCTGTGTTCCTGCCCACAGTCAACGCCAATGCTTTGGTGTGGGTCCTCCACTAGTGTCTACCTGGATAATACACCTCTCACTTGACTCCCTGATCCCACTCCTGCTTTCCAGAACCGTCCTCCATCTCCCACAATATTAAAACTTAGAGCTAGCTCCTTCCTCCATCTTTCCGTGCTGCCACGATGGTGCACATGTACTTCCTGGCTGACGATTCAAGAACATCAGCAGTGCTGAGGAGAGAGGCCAGCTTAGCAGGCCAGGCTCCAAAGTACACTTAAGTTCCTAACAGTGTTGATGAAGCTGGCTACCTTGGTGAATTTTAAATCATTGATGATCACAGAGCGGGGGAAACGGTCAACCTCACGGGCAGGTTAAACAAATGGCGTGATCAGCTCAGATTTGATGTGCGACTTAAAGATCTAGGAGAGTGGCAGGATAACCTGCTCCTGTCCCATCAGTTTGGTTCCACTGTCTGGACATCAGCTGGCATCGTGAACCTCGAGGGAGCCAAAATCACACTGGAGGAAAAACCCTGGATTCTATTTCTAGGGATGTAATACATAGTGCAAATAAAAATGTTTCAATGGGAGAAAAAAAATTAGAGCCAAGATGTGCCAGGGCAAGAAAGCCACTTCCTGTGTGGGCTTTAAGGAGGCGACAGGAGGACCAGTGACCCGCATGGCTCAGGGAACGAGGCTTCCCTAAATGCTGTGTCCCAGGTCTCACTGGTTCTCCTGGGGTCCTGACCCTAACGTGCGTACAAGCATTACATCACTCCCCCGGCTCAGTTTCCATCCACCCACCTCTGCTTATGTGGTAGGTCGTGACCGAGCCTCAACTTGCTTTCCACATTCCCTTCCACTGTTCCCGTCAGATGTTCTAATCTCCTAACAAAATTCCTACAAGCTCTACAGGTTTCTGCTTAAGCTGTTGACATTCTCTATTTCCAAAGAGCCAAAATGCACCCATTCAAGTCCAGCTCAATTACACACGCATCTGGGAATTTATTCCTCATCGAGGAAAAACTAGCCCCTGCAGAGGTCCCATGGTGCTCAGTCTGCACCTCACTAGATCCCTGAGCCTCTCCACTTGGCGTCAGTTATTGATGCCATGTCTTTTCTGGCCTTCTGGTCACCAGCTCACAAATATCAGGACTCATGTCTGGTCCATCTGGGTCCAGATGAAGAAATTAATCCACCAATAGGATAATAGTGACCAGGGCTACTACTTTGCCCTTTGCTCACAAATAGTAAGGTGCTCAATCAGTGTGCTAGCTGTCGACCAGAGGGTGAGGCCAAAGGGAGCTGTAGGGTGCCAGATGCCCTTACTCCAGCAAGGGCTGACCAGAAGGCACACTGGCTGGACTCTGAGGCAGCTGAAGTCTCTGGCTACCCTGAAATGCTGCCACACCTCCATTCACCCCTGTCCAGGCAGGGCTGGAGGACAAAGGACTTCATCAGTGATCTCCTCGAGGGAGTTCTGCTGCTCAATGGGAGAAAAATGCACAACCTCTTCCCATAAGAGAGAGAGCAGGCAGGGCACGCAGGGCACGCCAGCCAGCCAGCCAGCCAGACACTGACACTCCAGGGCCACCAGAGGGCGGTACAACCTTTATTTATGGAGAGTTTAAAGGCAAACGCCCTGTCCTGCTGCTGGGCTACGAGGCCTTAGTCCGCCTGAGACCTGGTCATATTAGGCTTTTAAAGACTGAGGTCTTAAACGTTTAAATTAAATTGACTCTAAACTGGGTATGTATCAGCAGCACTTTGGAATCCTCCTGTCCCAGGATAGCTGCATTCGGGCAACTGGGGTAGGCCCAAGGCACCAGCATTTTGAAAAGGTCTCCCATGTAAGGAATTTGGATCTGCACACTACAGAGAGCGGCCACTGAACACCAGGTCTGTGTGGTCAAAGCTCAACATGCTCCCCAGGCATCAGTGTGGGACGATCTCTAGGTGGAAGCAGAGTCATGGGTGAAAGGGCATTAAGGAAGAGGTCGGGCGCAGACACAGGGTTAGGAAAAGGTACAGAGTCTGGAAATGTGTTACTGGAGGCAGCCCAAGCCCAGGGTTTAAAACATCGCTCTGCCACATCTACACTTCCTCTGGGCCCCAGTTTCCTCATCTGGAAATGGAGTTCACAACACTTTATTGACAGAGTCATTAAAACACACACACACACACACACACAACCCATTGCCATTGAGTCAGGTTCTACCTCACAGAGACCTTTAAGGACAGAGTGGAACTAGCCTGCAGGACTCCTAAGCTTTACAGAAACAGACAAGCTCACGGTCCTCCCTCTGAGCAGCTGGTGAGTTCAAATATCAACCTTTCAGTTAGCAGCTGCGCCCTTAGCCCCTTAGTTATAGGTAATCACACCTGCTAAAGGGTCAACTATGAGCTATAGGAGATCACAAATGTATGAAAGTAAATATGTATGTGTTTCATAACTATATCTGAAAAGAAAGTGTAAAACATTATACATATAAGAGGCAAGAACTGTTCACAAAAAAAACTAAATGGATTTCAAATAATTGGGATTTCAGTTGGGGGAAGTTGCTAGGGCTCTGTTAGCAAGAGCATCTCTGTGGCTTCCTGCAGACCAATCAAATTAGGATCTCGGGGGTGGGACCCAGGCCTTAAAAGTCCCTCAGGTTCTTACAATTACAGAACCCATGTCTACGAACCCCAAGTTATAGAATCTAGACCTGTGGTACCTAAAGTGGCGCTGTAACAGAACTACCTGTTGGTATTTTAGAGTGACCCAGACAGCTGGATCAGAATCCACAGCACCTGGAGGGAGATTTCTAACCAACACCCGAAAATGGCAAGGTCACACATCGGCAGGCAGCCAGGGCAGACCACGCAACCGTGAGACACAGTATAGAAAGTGGAGTGCTGGCACCCCAGAGTGGGAGACTGAGCCCACAGGTCCCTTCCAGCCTTTAGCTTCAGGTGACGACACAGCCCAGATGTGGGACAAGGCAGGAAGGTGCAGTGCTGACCTCTCTCATTTCTTTCCATGGCGTGACGGCTGCTGCGGTTGCCGTCGGTCTGCAGCTCGTCATCATACTCCTCGCACAGGGCGGCCGGCACGTGCAGCCCACGGCCCAACGTCTCCAGCTCGCTGAGGAAGTTGCAGTTGGAGCAGTTTTTGAGGAAGCTGAACACCAGCAGCTTTGTGATGCGCTCATTCGGGAGTCCTGAACCATTGCTTACCTGAGAAGAAAGGAGACACGGGCTGGTGGGCCTCTGGTTCAGGGTCAGAGGCCCAGCTGGCTGCCCAAGAGGCTCTGGGGGCCGACTGGCCTGAAACAGTTTCACTGGCCCAAGGGCTCTGAATAGCCCTACATGTGCAAGAGGTCTCATCTCCGTGGGCAGAGTCCGGACTTACTGCACCTGCTTTAAGCAATGCCACTGCACATTCCAAAGAGAACACTGTAGGGGCGGGCTGGGATGCTCATGCGTGCGGGCTCCTTGAAACATCTGGCCAGTGTGAACTTCCTAGGAAGGGCACAGGCTGTTCTAGAAAATCAAGCAAGCATCGAAATCTCAATGCCCACCTATATGAATGCATACATTTTTACAAAGTCTCATGTGCAAAGGCGTTTGACTGTGTGGATCATAACAAACTGTGGCTGACTCTGAGAAGAATGGGAATCCCAGAACATTTAATCGTGCTAATGTGAAACCTATACTTGGACCAAGAGGCAGTCATCAGAACAGAGCAGGGTAACACTGAATGGTTCAAAATTGGGAAGGGTGTACACCAGGGATGTGTCCTATCTCCATACCTTTTCAACCTGTATGCAGAGCAGATTATCCGAGAGGCCGGGCTCTATGAGGAGAAGAGTGGTGTCAGGATTGGTGGAAGATCTATTAACAATCTGCGTTATGCAGATGACACAACCCTGCTTGCTGAAACTGAGGAGGACCTCATTCACTTGCTGCAGAGGGCCAAGGACTACAGCCTTCAGCATGGACTGAGGCTCAATGTCAAGAAGACAGATTCTCACCACTGGACCAATTGGTAGCATCAGGATGGATGGCGAAGAGATTGAGATTGTTCACAGCTTCAGTTTGCTCGGCTCCACAGTCAACACTTTTGACACCAGCAGTCAGGAAATAAAAAAACATATTGCGATGGGAAAGTCTGCTGTTAGGGACCTCTCTAAAGTACTCAAGAGCAACGGTGTCTCTCTGTAGACTAAGGTGCACCTGATACAGTCCATGGTTTTTGCAATCACTTGTTATGTATCAGAGAGTTGGGCAATGACTAGGGAGGATAGAAGGAGAATTGATGCCTTTGAGCTGTGGTGCTGGAGAAGAGTATTGAGGGCACCATGGACTGCCAGGAAAACAAACAGATTCATCCTGGAAAGGGTTAAACCAGTCTACTCCTTGGAGTCAAGGATTCTGGGGCTTCGTCTGACATACTTTGGACATGTTGTAAGGAGGGACAGGTCCTTGGAGAGGGACATCATGCTTGGTAGGGTGGAGGGACAGCGCAGGAGGGGAAGACCCTCTATGAGGTGGATTGATTCAGTGACTGGGGTAATCGGGATGGGTGTGTCAGAGGCAGTGCAATTGGCACAGGATAGAGCAGGGTTTAGGGCTCTGGTACATAGGGTCGCTATGAGTCGCAAACGACTCGACGGCACATAACAACAACAACATGTGCCCATTAGGGAACTCTGGTGACCTAGTCTGTAGAGAGTGACACACTAACCCATACGGTCATGTGTGTCTCTGACAGTTCAAATCCACCAGTGGCTCCGTGGGAGAAAACGGAGCAATCTCCTCCCACTAGATTTACAGTCTTGGAAACCAAACAGAGGGTCAGTTATGACTTTTGTTTTGCTTTGTTATTTGCATGTACTAATTACCAACGGAGCTTTCAACAGCACTCTCCTTCCACATGATTTACAGCCTCTAAAAACCTGCTGAAGAGTAAGGGGTGAGTTGATTCTAACTTGACAGTTCACAACATTACCAATGTGGGACCAACCCTGGTGGCTCCACATCTAGAAGCTCTTTCTTCTCCATAATCGCCTCTGTAGTACTAGGATAACACGAGTGAAGGTGTTCAAGAAATTCTAAGGAACAAATGAATGGTTGGAAAAACTATGGTATATTCATTCACATGATGGAATACTATGCAACTCTGAAAACCAATGAACTCCTAAAACCTTGCACAACATGGGGGACCCTGGGGGACATTATGCTGAGTGAAATCTCTCCATCAAAAAGAAATATACAGCACAACACCACTGTTATATAGCAGGACTGACAGGGGGGTTTTGGAGAATAGAAGAGTGGGCAGATAAGAAACACTGAATTGGAACAGGTGAAGGAAAGAACTGTTTAAAAGGAATATATGGTTTGGCATTTTATGTAAGACAATAGTCCAGATTAAGACATACATTGGAAAAAAGATCTGGGAAGGGTAAGGGAGGAGGGGCAGGAAGAAACTGCACAACAACGAATGAATTTTTTTTTTAATTGAGCTGGGGGAGGGGGAAGGAGAAAAAATGTGCAATAGTGAATGAATGAATGAAAATCCAACTTTTCTGTAAACTTTTGTTAAAATCATAATTAAAAACTTTTATTAGGAAAAAAAACCCCTTTCCTGAGGAGTACTGCTGGCACATTGGTTAAAGCTCTCAGCTGGCAGTTAAAATCCCCTGGTCACTCCAGAAGAGAGACATGGTGGTCAGCTTCTGCAAAGATTACAGCCCTGGACAGCTGGTGATTCCTAGGGGAGGGAGTGTCAGTTCTGTAAGGGGTCTCAATGAGTTGTAAATGACTCTGTGGAAGTGGGCTTTTAGGTGGGTTTGTGTGTGTGTGTGTGCGCACGCGCGCGTGCACGCAACACTCTGGATGGAATAGAAAACACCTGCCCTTGGGCAGGTTTGGTTGATTCAGGTGTTGTTGTGTTGTTATGTGCCGTCGAGTTGCTTGCGACTCATAGCGACCCTATGTACAACAGCCCTAAACTCCGCTCTGTCCTGTGCCAATCGCACCGTCTCTGACACTCCTATCCCAATTATCCCAGTCACTGAATCAATCCACCTCATAGAGGGCCTTCCTCTCCTATGCTGTCCCTCCACCCTCCCAAGCATGATGTCCCTCCCCAAGGACCCGTCTCTCCTCACAACATGTCCAAAGTATGTTAGACAGAGCCTCAGAATCCTTGCCTCCAAGGAGCCACCCAGTTTAACCCTTTCCAGGACAAATCTGTTTGTTTTCCTAGCAGTCCATGGTATTCTCAATACTTTTCTCCAGCACCACAGCTCAAAGGCATCAATTCTCCTTCTATCCTCCTTAGTCATTGTCCAACTCTCTGACGCATAACAAGTGATTGCAAAGACCATGGCCTGTATCAGATGCACCTTAGTCTCCAGAGAGACACCATTGCTCTTCAGTACTTTGGAGAATCAGGTGTACATGTACATTAACCAAAACTGGATTACATCAGAGCCGAGACGGGGCTCATGGTGTAATGTGAAGCGGCTGCCGAGCCTTCAGCCCTGCCACGCTCCATCCTGTGGGAAGCACGTGCAGCAGCATCTTGGGCCCCGTGTTTGTACATCAGAGGGACTCCTGGCACACAGGTGAGTCTGTGTGGCATCCTCGGTCAGATGTGACCAGAGCAGTCAGAGAGCCAAGAGGAAATGACAACGAGGTCAGGGCTACTGAGAGCTGTCCAGACAAATGCTGATCAGACTTCCTGGGCTCTCTGAGAAGGTCGGCAGTAGATGAAGGTACAGGCAGAAATGATTCCTATCCTCCTAGTCTTTAACATTTCTCATCAGAAAAATCAGAAAACCAGAGGACAACTGTTAGAAGGCAATCTGTTTTAAAACAAAGTGTTCTATATTGCCTCCAAAATTACCTCGGAAAAGAGGCAAAATTTATGTAAACGTTCACCTCTATCAATGCCTTATAATTCTTATACATTGAGACCATGAGGTACAAGGCAGACACCCCCGCACACGCTTCTTGTCTGCCCCAAGCAGATATCCTGGTGGGGAGAGGATAAAAGAGGGTTGGGAAAGTGTTGTAGGTTGAAGTGCATTTCTCAAAGGAGATATTTAACTCCTAACCCCAGGGAACTGACACTGAGACTGTGTTTAGAAATGTGATCTTTGTGAAGGGAATCCAGTTAAAGCCAGACCATACTGGATCAGCCTTTAGAATGATGTTTTTATGAGATTCTCTTTCCCTACCCACCTCACAAAGCCCCTGTCACTTTAACTCATGGTGGCCCTCCATTGGTTTTTTTATGAGATTCTCTTTCCCTACCCACCTCACAAAGCCCCTGTCACTTTAACTCATGGTGGCCCTCCATTGGTTTCACGGTGGCCCTCCATTGGTTTCCAAGGCTGTAAATCTTTACAGGAGGAGAATGCTTATCTTCTTCCCTTAGAGTAGCTGATGGATTCGAACTGATGACTTCTGAGTTAGGTCAACACATAACACACCACCTCACCAGTGCGCCTTTATAAGAGAAACGTGAGCGAGTTTACACTCACTGGGAATTCCGCATGAAAATGGCAGAGTGATACAACCACCCACCAAGGAGCCAAGGAGGGAGACAGAGCGGAGCAGCCCCTCCTTCAGAGCACCCCTCCTTCAGAGACTCAATCTTCTAAATCCTCATTTCAGATACCTGGCCTCCAGAATATGAAAGAACCAATCTGTTGTAAGCCACGCATTTGTGGAATTTTGTTGCAGAAGCTCTAGGAAAACAGAGGCCATTCTGCCCAAGGACTTTGTTTTGCTCTTGTTAGGTGTCTAGAGGGTCTCAGAAGCGGCTCCCCGTGATAGGGTGGAACTGACCCACAGGGATTCGGAGGCATGAGTGTTAGTACTGCACGGCTAACCAAAAAGGCATCAGTTCAGTTCAACCCTTTCTCCAAAGATGAAGGATGAGCAGTCTCCTCCCGTAGAGATTTACAGCTTCACAAACCTGATGGAGAGGCGATGAGCTGGAGCGAGGGTGGGGGGTGGGAGGGGAGGTGAGGGGGTGGTTTTCCAACAGAGGGGTGATGAGCTGGAGCAGGGGGGTTGGTTTTCCGATGAAGGGGCGATGAGCTGGAGCAGGGGTTGGTCTTGACTTCATCTCTACAGGAGCAGGTTCCAACTGGCAACTTTCAGTCAGCAGCCAAGCACTTAACTGTTACATCGCTAAGGCTCGTGAACAGAAGTCTACAGACTGAACGTAGAGCAGCAGTTCCCGCCAGTTAGTTATGCCCGGTCAAGTTATCAAACCCAAGTTCAACAATATTTGTCTTTCCACATTCAAGAAAAAGGACAGCTGACAGGCAGGAAGAGAAAATAAAGATTTTCATGTTAAGAGAAGAACAGGTACAGAAGCCAGAATCATGACCTGAGATGGCCAACTTGGCAGGTGTGGACAGGCCAGGTCAGGTGGAGAGAGGACAGACAGACCAGGTCAGGTGGAGGGAGGACAGACAGACCATGTCAGGTGGAGGGAGGACGGACAGACCAGGTCAGGTGAAGGGAGGACAGACAGACCAGGTCAGGTGGAGGGAGGACGGACAGACCAGGTTTGATCGCACAGGTAGAGAAGAGCTGGTCTACTCATGTAAAGGCGAGTGGGCACAAAGGCTGAGTGTATTTACTTCCAAGGCCAGAGTTTGTAACATGCCAAGTATGAACAGTGACCTTTTTTTTTACACTTTCATGTTTTTTAAACTTATTTTTATTTTATATTGCTTCCATACAAAATTTATTTAAGTGTGTTTCACTCATACACAGTTCATTTCATAAATTCCTTCATTCACATCATGTTTTATAAAATCAATCACCATCAGTCTACACCCACAATCACCTGACTTCAGGTCCCCACTGGATCTTTCCTAATTCTTTCACCCTCTCCCTCTCCCCACCAATCTTTGAGACCTTGTGATTTATCCTCCTCTCCACCCTCAGGCCCCCTTCCCTATTTAGACCCTTGTACACATCCTTCCATTTTTACAATGGTCTTAGGCAGTATCATTATAAGACTGAGTTAGTTCACGCAACATAATGCTTTTGAAACTCTCCCATGTTATATAGTATTTTTTAAGAAATCTTGCTCCTGAGAGCGACATGGTATTTCACTATGTGAATGAATTACAATTTCTCAATCCATTAATTTTCTGATGGCCATTTAGGTTGTTTCTTGCTATTTTCTTGCTATTGTGAATAGTGCTACTGTGAACATGAGTGTACAAGTCTCCATTTGTGCCTCAGTTCTATTAACCTCCGGGTATATTCCTAGCAATGGCATAGCTGGGGTCACATAAAATTTCTATGTTCAGATTTTTGAGGAAACACCAAACTGCCTTCCAGAGGAGTCGTACCGTTTCACAATCCCACCAACACTGTATAAGCATTCCAATCTTTCCACATCCTCTCCAATATTTATTGCTTGCTGTCCTGTTAAACTTTGCCACTGCTACTAGGGTGAGATAGTATCTCATTATGGTTTTGATTCGCATGTCTCTTATTGCCAGTGACTGTGAGAATTTCTTCATGTGTCTATTTGTCAACCAACTGTCTTCTTCGTGAAGTCTTTCCATGGGTTTTTTTGGTCCATTTTGTAACTGTTTTTTTTTGGTCTTTTTCTTGTGGAGGCCCTGTAGTATTCTGTAAACTTTTGTTAAGAGACCCTTGTCTGAGATGGTATTGTCAAATGTTTTTTCCAAGTCAGTTGGCTTTCTTTTCACCCTGTTAGATAAAGTTTTTGATGCACACAGGGACTTAATCAATGTTTATAAGGTCTCATTCATTGATGTTATCCTCTCCTGGCTGTGTATTTCTGGCTGTATTTGCTGGCTTCTTTTTATTATAGACTAGGACTTCTAAGATTGGTCCCATTTTTTTTCATAATCTTTATGGTTCTGGGCTTCACTCCTAGGTCTCTGATGCACCTTGAGTTTATTTTAGTGTATGGTGCGAGTTGTGGATCCTGCTTCAGCTTTCTTTTTCTTTTCTCCCCCATTTGTACTTTTCCAGTTCATTTCTGTAATAACGTAATATAAAAGGCATTGCCACACGCTTCTCCTCCTGGGGGAGATCCTTCAAGCCTGTCCCTCTCAGTTGCTCCAGTGAGCAACACATGAGATCTCATCATGAGATACTGTCAGCCTCTCAGGAAAAGAAATCAGTACGTTCATCCTCATATTCCTCCAAAATGCTCTCAAATGCAGACCTGAGCGTTCCCCTGAGGTGTGAATCGATTTGGATGCCCTGTAGGTCCAGCTCACTGGACTCTCCACTCTGGCTCACACTTGTACATAGTTCCTGCGGTGGGAAGAAGGGTCTATCTGTTCTCTGTATTCTTTTATTCAGTCATATACCTCTTCTAGCAGCTCTGTGAGGGCCTCTGAGCAGGCATATTGCGTCAACTTTCTGTAGGTAGTGGTCCAGTTTTGCCAGCACCATTTGTTGAAGAGGTTGTCATTTCCCCACTTGATAGGTTTGTTTCTTGGTTGAACACCAGCTGACCATAGGCAGAGGAGTTAACGTCTGGGTTCTCAGGCCTGCTCCACTGGTCTGTGTGTCTGTCATTGTACCATGTTGTCTTGGCTATTACAGCTGTGTAGTAGGTTTTGAGATCACGGAGTACTATGCTTCCCACTTCGTTCTTGTTTATCAGTAGTGCTTTGCTTATTCGGAGTCTCTTTCCTTTCCAAAGAAACTTGCCTTTTCTATGTCTTTGGAAAATGATTCTGGCATCTGTATTTGGAATTGCATTAAACATGTAGATTGAGAAATAGGATTTCTCAGAAGATCTAAGATTGGAAGTTGTGGTCTTTTAGGTCACAGCAAAGAAAAATAACCAAGACACAGGAAATCTCACTGGATGTATTAAATTATAAATTAAGCAGGAAGAGCCCAATCAACCCTCATGCCATGGAGTTGACACCAGTGCAGAAAAAGGGGTGGGAGGCTACTCAATGCATCGGAAAAACGAGGGAAAACAGCAGCAAACAAATCCAAAGTCTCACAACTTTGTTTTCTCAAGGATTAAGAACCAAAGGAGAACGTCAGATGTATCTACAACAGGAGAAAGGTTCTGTTTGTTGTTGTTGTTTTAAAAAAGGTTAAACCTTTATAAATCCAGGAGAATATGGACCTTAAGGAAATAAAAATTTTGGGAAGTCATGATCTCTACCCCTTCTAAACTGAAGGATATACAGAAGAAGAAATGGGACAAAGTGAGAGAAAGCTCACCCTACAAGTTAAAGAGCTAAATGAGTCTAGTCACAGACTTCTCAAGAATAGGGAAGAGGAGACAACAGAGTTAGTGTGGAAGGGACAACAGCCAGATGTAACTAGAGGCAGATGAGTATTTTAGATACAAATAAGCCTTGGTGGATGGTGGGTTAAATACTGGACTGCTAACCAAAAGGTCAGAGGTTCAAATTCACCAGGGGCTCCTCAAGAGAAAGAGGAGGCATCTGCTTCCATAGAGATTTACAGCCTTAATGATCCCATGGGGCAGTTCTGCTCTGCCCTGTAGGGTCTCTATGAGGTAGAACCTGGCACCTAATTGACAGCGGGCTGGCTTGGTTTGGTTCGAAGAGGCCTTTTTAGGGAAAACTGTCTCTGCAGTTGACATCTATCTTCTCTACTAATTATATCCCAGGCCTTCTAGGTTATCATCCCTTGAAACGGGTTCTTAACAAGGACCCATGGAGAACCATCTGGGTGCCAGGACCCACTCCCTGCTCATCGGCCTCCTGGAGCTGCCGACAACAGTGCTGGGCAGAAGCACGGCACACTGCTGCAGAGAATGCAGACTAGCCCAGGGCAAAGTGGCCTACAAGGTTTTTGAAACATCCAAAGGGAAGCTAATAGGCACACAAATGAGCAGCTGGTCTTGGGCCATCACCCTTCCCGTCCCAAAGCATTTCTTCAGGATGATCTGAGACTGACCTGAAGATCCATGGCTCTGTCACGCTGAAACACTCCAAGTCACCTTGGGCTCACCGGTGACCTTGGTCAGGTCTGAGACCTAGAAGGGAACAGACACACACATTAGGAGGTGGGCTGCTGGTCCCCAGCAAGGGACACATGGTCCGTGAACAAATCACAGAGCCTGTTCTGAGCTTTGGCTGCAAGATGCTTGTAGCAGCCCTGCAGAGATCTCTGTGAACTATCCAACCAGTAATCACTGGGGGCCTCTCCTGGGCACAGAGCTTTGGCAACAACCCAGGGAGTAAATTCCGTCATGCTCCTGTCCAGAGCCTGTCCATGGCCTCCCAGAGCTCCCCAAGGCCAAGTCCCCCTCGCAATTCAACTCTTCTACATTGAGCTCAACACAGCCTCACTCATCAGGCAAAGAGGGATGGTATGATTTAGGAAATACTGTAAAACAAATACATTAGCAAGTTTTCTATAAGAATAAACTTAACTAATAAAATAAATACTTGAAAAATGAAGGTATTGGGCATCAAATTCCTATGCAGTTGAGAATCCGTGTATAATTCACAACTCTTGAACAATATGGGTTTGTGCTGGGCAGGTCCACATACACAAGGATTTTTCTTTTCCTTGAGTTTAACTGTTTAGAGTCTCCACTTAAAACACTATGTGAGGATAACTACCTTCACACAAGCCGTTCAGTTCTCCAGTACATTACACAGCAGAGAAAAGTGCCCATGTGATTCACATCAATATGGCATTTGAAGTAGATATTGGCAACACTGGACCTCAGAGCAACAACAAATTGATTTGTTTCACTCAGTATAATGCCCTCCAGGATCAGGTCGTTATTCTTCAATGTTGCATAGTATTCTAGTTTATGTATCCATTCATCCACTGATGGACACTTGGGTTATTTCCATCTCTTCGCTGCTATTGTGAAGAATGCTGCAGTGAACATGTATCTATTCTTGTAACAGCTTTCCTAATGGTGAGATTACTGGATCTATTTTCAACTCTTTTAAGGAAGCACCATATTGTACTTGCTGAAGATTATCCCAGAACAACTGGAACTGTAAATCAATAGTAAACTACCCGAAGTATAGGCTGAGTTTAGAAGAGGCTATGGCATTAGGGACATCATTGCCAATGTTAACTGTTGGCTGAAAGCAGAGAGTACCAGAGGAATGTCCATCTATGTTTCATTGACTATGCAAATGTATTTGACTGTGTGGAGCATAATAAATTGTGGATAACTCTGAGAAGAATGGGAATCCCAGAACACTTGATTGTGCTCACGTGAAACCTAAACTTGGACCAGAAGGCAGCCATTAGAACAGAGCAAGAAAACACTGCATGGTTCAAAATCAGGAAAGGAGTTTATATGCAGAATAGATCAAATGGGAGGCTGGTCTTTATGAGGAGGAATGTGGCATTAGAATTGGAGGAAGACTCATCAACAACCTGCATTTATATGGATGACACAACCCTGCTTGCTGAAACTGAGTAGGACCTAAAGCATCTGCAGCAGAAGATCAACCTTTGCAGTATTCAATGTGAATTGAAGCTCAACATCAAGAAAACAAAGATTCTCACCACTGGGCCAATTGGCAGTGCCATGATAGATGGAGAAAAGATTGATATTATTAACAACTTCAGCTTGTTTGGGTCCACAATTAACACTCTTGGAACAGCAGTCAAGAAATCAAAAGACGAACTGGATTAGGAAAGTCGGCTGTCTAAAGTGCTGGAGCACAAAGATGTCAGTCTAGAGACCAAGGTGCAGCTACCTGATCCAGTCCAAGGTCTTTGCAGTTACTTGCTATGCATCAGAAAGCTGGAAATGACTAAGGATGACAGAAGAAAAACCAATGCCTTTGAGTTATGGTGCCAGAGAAGAGTCTTGAATATACCATAAACTGCCAAGAAAACAAACAGGTCTATCCTAGAGAGGGTAAAACCAAGTTGCTCTCTGGAAGCTAGGATTTTGAAGCTCAGTCTGACATACTTCGGGCATGTTGTCAGGAGGGACCAGTCATTAGAGAAGGACATCATGCTTGGAAGGGTGGAGGGACAGTGCAAGAGAGGCAGACCTTACATGAGATGGACTGACAAAATATAGGGGCAGATGTACTGGAGACAGTGAGGCTGGCTCAGGATAGAGCAGGGTGCAGGAGCTGTTGTACATACGGTCGCTAAGAATTGCAGGTGATTCGACGGTCCATAACAACAGATAATAGTAAAGTTAATTACATTTCAGACTACAAACCTAAAAAGTGTGAAATCCATGTGTATTGCCTGCATTTGTGTTTCTTCTAGAAGGTATTTGCAATGAATAAGTCATTGAATGTGCAGAATTCTATCATTCTATCTCCAGCCTCATTTCTGTCACCGAGTCCATGTTTTCCAGCTGCTGATCCTTCTTCCCTGTGCCCAACTTTTGCATTCCAGTCACCCATTATTATCAATGCATTTTGATTGCATGTTTGATCGATCTCTGACTGCGAAAGTTGATAGAAGTCTTCCATTTCCTCCTCTTTGGCTTCAGTTGTCGATGCATATATTTGAATGATAGTGGTATGATATAGTGAATAATACTGGACTTCCCTGTATGCGCATGGATATTATCCTGTCACTTTCCATATTGTATTTATGATGGATCTAGAAATGACTTTTTAAATTATGAAACCAACCCCATTTTTCCCTCACCTTTTCATCCCCATCATAGCAGATCATATGATCATCCAATTCAAAATACCCCATGCCAAGGCATCTCATTTTGCCAATACCTAGTATTGGCAATATTTATGCAAAAGAAATGGTTCTTTCTTAATAATGTCCAGTTTTCTGACATTCATGCTTTTCACATTCCACATACCAATCACTAGTGTCTGCTTACAGCTGTGGCACTGGTGGAAGACTCACCAACAACCTGCATTATGCAGATGACACAACCCTGTTTGCCGAAACTGAGGAAGACCTGAAGTGCTTGCTCCAGAAGGTCTAGGACTGCAGTCTTCAATATGGATTAAAGCTCAACATCAAGAAAACAAAGATTCTCACTTCTGGGTCAACTGGCAGCATCAATATGGATGGTGAAGAGATTGAGACTGTTAACAGTTTTAGTTTACTTGGCTCCATAGTCAACACTCTTGGTACCAGCAGCCAGGAAATCAAGAGACAAATTGCACTGGGAAAGTCAGCTGTCAGGGGCCTCTTTTAGAGTACTGAAGAGCAACAACATCAGGCTGGAGACTAAGGTGCACCTGATCTAGGCTATAGTCTTTGCAGTTGTGTGCTATGCATCGGAGAGCTGGACAGTGACTAGGGATGACAGAAAGAGAATTGATACCTTTGGAGAAGAATGTTGAATATACCATGGACTGCTAGGAGAACAAACAGGTTTGTCCTGGAGAGGGTGAAGCTGGGCTGCTCCTTGGAGGCAAGGATTCTGAAGTTTTGTCTGACATATTTTAAACATATTGCAAGGAGGGACCAGTGCTTGGAGAGGGACATCATGTTTGGCAGAGTGGAGGGACGGTGCAGGAGAGGAAGACCCTCAATGAGAAGGATTGCTTCAGTGATTGGGGTGGCGGGAGTAGGTGTGTCGGAAACAGTGAGATTGGCCTAGGATAGAGCAGGATTTAGGGCTCTTTTACATAGGGTCATTATGAGTTGCAAGCGACTCGACGGCACATAATAATAATAACAACAACAACAACAACCTAAAGAGTGGCCAACCTAAAGAGTAGCAGTTTGAACCAACAAGATTTTCTGTGGAACAAAGATAAGGTAGTCTGTTTCCATTAATATTTAGTTGTGTTATGAACACAGCAAGGGAACACTCATGGTTTAAAATCAAGAAAGGTGTACTTCAGGGGCATATCCTTTCTCCATATCTATTCAGTCTGCATGAAGGACAAATTACTTGAGAAGCTGGACTATATGGAGGAACTGGCTCAGCAGTAGGGGATTTGATTTGTACATTTTCTACAGTGGCTATACAATTTTCAAGTCCAACCAGCAGTGCATCTTTGCCAGCATTTGTTTGCTGTCTTACTGAACTCTGCTGTCATCGTTTGTGGCTTGGAAACCCAAAGGAGAGTCAATCATCAGTCGGCTCTAACTTGACAGCAATGAAAGACAGCATTTCTTCACAGCCATCTGGACGTCATTGGTGAAGTGTCTGTTCATGTTGAATCAGATTATTTGGGTTTTTGTTGTTTAGGTATTTGAGTTTTCTAAAAAATAGTAGAGGCTATTCTCCGGCTGGATTTGTTACTATCCAATGGCAAGAGTGATAAATTCTATCTTCTTACCTCCAATGCCGTATTTTCCAGCTACCTATCCACTTCCTAAACAGCATGGCTCTGGAAACTCTATGAACTTTGATAAATGTCGATAGTTGTAGAGAGGCTTCAGGCCTTTTGTTCATAGGGTCGCTATGAGTCGTACTCCACTTGAAGGCAATCAAGAACAATAGCTCACAAGAAGTTTAGCTGATAAACTGAAGGCCATGCTTCTGTGGTGGTTCGAAATCTACCAGTATCTCCACAAAAGAAAGAGGGAAATCCCCTCCCATGTGACCTACAGCTTCTGAAAACTCACTGGAGGGCAAGCAGCTCCTGAGCACAGAGATGTGGGGCAGGATTACGGTGGGATCATGGCACCACTGGGCTCCACGCCCTGGTGGGAGAGAAAAAATTCATTACTTGACTGTAGAAGTCAGTACAAATTTTCACTTTCTTCTCTGGCATTAGCAGTTGCTGCATAAATTTCAGTAACAGTCAATTAACCGGTCTTCCTTCTTCTTACGTGCTATCCAGAGCTGGCACACAGCTGACCCTTCAGTGGGTTTTCAGAGGCAGTAAATCACATGGGAACAAACTGGCTCATCTCCCACGGAGCCTGCCTTTGGTTGGCAGCACAACTCCTTACCCACGAGGCCACCCTATCACTGACAGCACTGTACTTCAGGAGAGTGCCTGAAATATTCTCAAGGACAATGACTGTGATGCAATTTTTCTGTCGCTGCCACAGCTGGAACCACCATCTTGCCGCGATCCACCAAAATGATGAACGAAGGAAACGAGGAGAGGCACCCACGCTATGTTCTCCAGGCCTTTATTAAACATGCAGCTGTTCTTTGACCACTTACATGCAAATCTACAAGAAAGGAGATATTGGAGACATCAAGGAAGTGGGCACCGTTCAAAAAAGAATGGCCCACAAATGTTACCATGGCAAACCTGAAGACTTCACACTGTTACCCAGCCTGCTGTTGGCATTGCTATAAACAAACAAGTTATGGGTAAGAGTCTTGCCAAGGGAATTAGCATGCATATTAAATACTCTAAGAGTAGACACCGTTTCCTGAAGCTTGTGGGGGGGAAAAAAAAAACAAACCAAAGAACCCAAAACGCTCAGAAGAATGAGGAAGGTAAAGGCAAAGGCCCCAGGGCCCAGAGAGGTGCACTGTGCAAACCAGCGGGAAGGAGCCCCAGCTCTGGCGACCTGTGCTCTGTGAGGTCATGGTCTAATGCAGAGGAAATAAAGGTGGTTGCAGCTGCCTCTCATTTGGAGTCACTAGTCCTGATGTCAGCATGATGTTGAGCTTCTCTTTCTGATGTGCACAAAAAATGTGAAGTGATCTGAAACCCCAAGAAACTAAGGACATGAACAAAAGTTCAACAACCTAGACACTCTACCAACTCTTAATCAACAGAGAATAAATCCGTTTTCCACCAGAAAAAGATCACCTTATGGCCAAACCATAACACCAAATTCTCAATCACTGCTTTACCAGTGCAGGATGGTTCCTCTTCTGTGAGAAAAGGAGAAATCAAATGAAAACATAAAGCTGAGATAGAAAAGGGAAAAAAAACCCAAACAGACAGAAGTTCTACCTGGAATTCCCCTCTGAGAGTTAACAACAGATCATGTGAGTCCAGCGGATGATGAACTCTAAAACCTCTATGTAGTAATATGAAAAGGTGGAAGTCTGACATGTATACAAATATAAAATGAACATGTGTCAAGGATTTCATTAAGCTTGCTTACTATGAAGGAACTTGTAAGATGATATGACTAATTTCCTTTCTGATAATGTATCTAACACCCACATTCCTAAATATAAAACCAGCCATCTAGAGCTGCATGGATAGAGTTCCCTGGTTCAGGGAAGGGTGGTTCCCATCATCTGGGATAGGCAAGGCCAGCACAAGCCCACAAAGATGACCCTGGCAGCTTTGGTCACTCAGTGTCAAGTCAACCCCATAGACTTCCTCTTTTCTACAGTCCCAAGATAACTGTACTAATTTCCCTAAACCACGTACTTCTTTCTTAGGGTTTCAACTTTTACTGATTTTTCACTTGGCTCTTTCTGGCAATGCAGTGGCATAATGGAAGAGGAATTCCCACTCTCACTCCACAAAACATACACAGGGTCACACTTGCATTCATTCAGCCCAAGTAGAATTCATTAGGAAAAGAAGAAGCTGATATCTGGGTCACTAAGCCTGTCTACCTCCTTTGTCCCTAGCCTATCTGAGCACCAAGGGCCCAAATAAAGTCCTCTGAGAGTGAGGGAGATTGCCCAGAAATTCCACCACACTATCTCACAATCTCAGGGGGGAAACCACGTACATATTCCATTGGCTTCCTAACTTCACAGCACACTGCAGTAACTGAGAAGTTTTAAAAGATACTGATTTGGGGGAGCTCTGGTGGCCTAGTGGCAAGAAGCTGCACTGTAATCCCAGAGGAACACGGTTCGAATCCACCAGATGCTCTGCCGGAGAAGGAGGCGCAATATCCTCCTGTACCAGTCAGATCTGATTTGACGGTACACGCACACAAAATAATAAAATTTAAAAAGAAAATACTTTGAAAAAAAAGATACTGATTTGGAAAGAAAGAAGAGTAAAGCTATATTCACAAATGACAGGATCTCATAGGGAGAAAAAAACTAAGAAATAAACTTAAAAACTACTAGAGCTAACAACTAAGTTCAGCAAAGTTGCAAGATAGAAGATTGATTTTTTAAAAGCCACTGTATTTCTCTACAGAATAGCAGGTAATTTGAAAATGAAATTATGAAAATAATTATTACATATGTTTTTATATGACAACATAAAGATGAAACAGGAATAAATTTAACCCAAAATAAGTGTAAGTACAAAACATTACAGAAAACACTAAGGACATTCAAAGTACAAAACACTATTGAAAGACACTTTTAAAAGACCTAAGTAAATAGAAAGATTTAATATTGTTAAGAAAGCAACATTGATCAATGGTAACACTGAGTTAACGAAATTCCTATGAAAATCAAATTTGCTGTTTTTCCGATAGCAGCAAACTGACTCTAAAATTCATGTGACAGTGCAAATGACCCAGAGTAATAAAAAGTATTATAAACAAATAAAGTTAGAAGACTCACACTTTTGGATTCCAAAAATTAACCTCAAAGCCTCAATAATCAAGACAGTGAAGTACCAGCAAAAACAAACAAATAGATTAAGAAAACAGAAGTGATAGTCAAGAAATAAACCATAGCATTTATGTTCAACTGATCTCCAACAAAGGGACCAACTCAATTCAAGAATGGAAGAGCAGTCTTTTCAACAGTGTAAAAGCAGTTAAGAATAAGGAGGACCAAGGAGTTCTAGTGGTGTGGTCCTTAGGAAGTTGGACTGCATGCTCCAAGGCCACACCTCTGGTGATTTGAATCTACAAGTGGATCTGCTCAGAAAACCCACTGGAGGGTCAGCTATGACTCGGTTCCAACTCAACAGCGAAGAGCTGAGTTGAAGTAAAGGTATGATTTGGGCCTGTGATCCGGACGTGCTGGTCCCTGGAGAAAGACACCACACTTGGGAATGTAGAGGATCAGGGAGCAAGAGGGAGACCCTCAAGAAGATGGACTTGACAGAGTGGCTGCAACAATGGACTCCAGGACAGCGGACACTGTGAGGATGGAGCTGGCGGGCCAGTACTCGGCTCTGTGTACACTGTGAGGACGGAGCTGGCGAGCCAGTCCTCGGCTCCGTGTACACAGGACTGCTACGAGTCACAGCCAGCTCCACACTACCTAACGAGAGCACCTCTCACCACATACAAAATCAGCTCACAGAAGATCCTAGGCCTAAGTGTGAGAGCTAAAACTCAACTCTTAGAATGAATAAGGGACAAATCTTCATGAATGTGAATTAGGTAATGGTTTCTCAGGTACAACATCAAAAAGATAAACAAAAGATGAAAAACCAGATGAACTGAACTTCATAAAAAATACCCCTTAGATTTCTTTACTGATTCAACAATAAAAAAAGACAACTCGTTAAAAGTGGCAAAAGATTCAATGGGATACACAAGTGATTAATAAGTATATGAAATGACACTTTAACATGATTAGTCATAATAGAAATGCAAACTGAGACCACAATGACACACCACTTCATCAGAATAGCTCAAATAAAAAAAGAGATGAGATGGATTGACTCAGTGGCTGGGGTGATGGGGATTAAATATATCAAGGGCAATGAAATTGGCTCAGGATAGAGCAGAGTTCAGAGCTGTTGTACGTATGAATCAAAGATGACTCAGCAGCATTTAACAACAAAAAACAACAACATACCATTGTCAAAAATTCTGAGAAACTTTCATACTTTGAGGTTGTTGCTGTTATGTACTGTCAAGTCGAAACTGACCCATAGTTGACCTGCCAACGGGTTTTCAGGAGCAGTAATTGCAGTTGCCTGCCCATCTTTCTCCCATGGAGCAGCTGGTAGATTTGAAACATGTATCTTAGCATTGCCAGTACAACTCCTGACCACAAGACCACTAAAGTGCCCTCACATTTTGAGATGGGGATGGAAAACAATGCAATCACTTCAGAAAATACAATCTACAATCTTAAACAAGAAGTTGCCGTGTTGTCAGGTGCTGCAGAGTTGACTACGGGGAGCAACCTTAGTTATGAACAATAGCCCAGCAATTCCACTCACAGGTATATATCCAAGAGAAATGAAAACTCACCCCTACACAAAAATATATTAAAGCTCAGGGCAACATTATTCATGATAGTAAAAAAGTGAAAATCACCAAATATTCAACCACACCTTATAAGAAAATGTGGTATACACATACAACAGAATATTACACCCACTATGCTCTTATCAACAATCTCCTTATCTGACATTCATGACCATGGTAAAAATCTACTTGGTCAGGTAAGGAATCATGTTTTGAGCTACAAGCTTCCCTCCTCAACCCCAATTCCTTGGTCTCTCTCATCCTAACCTTCTCACCAGTTTATTGTAATTGTTATGTGCCATCAAGTCACCTGTGACTCCTAGCCACCCTATGTACAACAGTCCTAAAGCCTGCTCTATTCCTGAACCAACCTTATTGTCTCTGATATACCTACCCCCATTACCCCAGTCACTGAACCAATCCATCTCATCGAGGGTCTTCCTCTCTTTCACTATCCCTCCACCCTTTCAAGCATGATGTCCCTCTCCAAGGACTGGTCCCTCCTTGCAACATGCCAAATTGTCAGCTGGAGCTTCAGAATCCTTGCCTCCAAGGAGCAGCCTGGTTTCACTCTCTCTAGGACAAACCTGTTTGTTCAATACTCCTTCCAGCATTTTGGATGAGAATAAAGTTAAAAGAAGTGGGAGGGAAAGGGGTCAGGCACCAGAGCCTCAGCCATTAACCTGCAAGTGCTCCATAGTCTTGCCTGATGCTGCCCTGGGCTTTGGGGAAAAGCCTGTCAGAAGGCAGCAAAGGTGCACAGATAGGACATCTATCACTTCATCGAGCCTGCGTTTCTACAAGTCCAGGAACTCCATGTGAGTCTGAGGGAGATGCCCTTCCTGGCTGCAAAGACTAACCCAATCTGCTTGGCCAGTGGTTTGAAATGGCACAATCTAACCCACTCACCCTCCAGAAGCTCCAAGCACGGAAGTCATGGCTGCAGAGGACACTGAGCAAGAACAGCTGCATGCTTAACACTGGGGAGTCATCTTACTTTGTGAAGAGACTGCATCATTTTACAGTCCCACCTCCAAGTATGAGAATTCCCGTTTCTCAGCATCCTTGACAACACTGTGGTGTCTTTTTAAATGTAGTTACTGTGGTGGGTGTGAAGTGGTATCTCCTTGTAA